AAATCGTTGGTTGAAGATGGCGAGTAGATGTAGTAGCATGATTTTGTAATTAAATTAGAATGATCGGTAGTATGATGAAGACTTACATATAAAATAAGTCGTACAATCAGTGGCGAAGTTAGGAATTTTCGGAAGAAATGGCAAAATTTAAAAGCGTAATAGGTTCTACAAAAATGTTGACAATCAAATCATTTTAGATAGTGGGCAATATTTAATGTCGTTCACAGTTTGTCAATACAAACAAGTTGTAATTATTGTTGGCAAGATTTCATGTCATGAAACATCGTATAATAGACTCATTGTCAATAAAAACAAAAACATCCCTCTCAACATAAACAATCAAGCTATCACACAACTGTTACATCTCTCGCAATGTAAACATATCTCTCAGTAATATCAAAAACACTCTGACATAATAGGAACACTAATGATATTTTCCTCACAAAATTTTTGTATATTTGAAACAAGCCCTCAAAGTCATCATTTCTCAAGAATTAAAAGAAAATAAGATGAAATAATTTTAAATACCGGAAATAATAACAAGAATTAAAAAAGAACAATTACAAACGTCAACCCTTGTTTTTGAATAGTCTAAACAAATGAGAGAGCATGAAGAGAATTAAAATGGTGGGTTGGTAGTGCGGTTGGGAAAGAAAACCACATCGATAAAATTAAAAATTAAAAAGAAACTAAGGGAGCCCACCGAACTGCACCGTTTCAATAAAGGAATATTGAGTTTTATAAAAGGAAAACTAATGAAAATGGCTTGAAAACTTTGAGTTTTAACGATAAGGACAAAATAAAGGGTAAAGTGAATAGTACCAGGTTTGACTTTTTAGTGTAAAACTGTGGTTTTTCGTTAAAGTGAACAGTATCTTGAGCTTTTCATTAAAACTCTCTTTTATAAAAGGTGAACGACGCCGTCTAAACAAAACCAGGTCGTCTTCCCTTGAAACCAAAACCCAGCAGCGAAACGCACCCAGACCAGCAGGTTTAGAAGATCGGAAGGGCGAAATTCTCACTGTTAGTGGCAATTTCCAATGACCGGAGGGGTGCCCGCCCCTCCTTGCTCCTCTGTAGCTTCGCCAATGCATACAATGCCCACGTTTTAAGTTCTAATAGGGCATCTTAGGTACAAGAAATTCCCTCTTGCAATCAAGATATATTCTCAGTGGCGTTACTTTTCTAATCAAATCATGTTGACATGCATACTTGAATCTTCAGTGGAAGATGATCGTTGGCCCAGCAAGTAGTAACCATTTGGTTTTGTAATATTCTGTTTCTTTTTTTTTTTGGAAGATATTCTAAATTTAAATCTCATCACAATTGACGTACGATTATAAGACAAGAAAGTTGGATTATCTCTCTTGTGCATAAATAACCAATATAAAAGTTAATTAAAGGTATCAGAGAAACTGAATCACCAGCAAAAAGCTATTGTCATAGTCATGAATGATGCCTAAGAACATTTGGTATGCATATTGGGTAGCATCACAAGGCATACATATCTTATTAACTTCTTTACATATATGTTATACTAACAACAACTAAGACATGATTACATGGATTAGTTCAAAATTCAGATACGGGATTCTATTCTGGCATAGCTTGTTTCACAAGTACAACCCTTTTGGAATATAACCCATAGAAACTCAACTTCTCGAAATTTAAATTCCACTCGTGAATAAGAATATTTAAAAAAAAATTCAAATAGCATATTATTCTTTTTAAATGGGTGCCACACGTGAAACTTTGGAGCTAGAAACTGCTAAAGTTAAATTATATATAACTAGGATTACAATTATGTGCAAAAAAAGAGAGAGATATAATGAAACCTAATTACATAAACAAAGCACATAACTTCGGACAAACATTGCTCGATCGAGTCAGTAAAATACACAATAAATTTAATCAACTCACGCCGACAAACATCATTCCAAGTTAGGTAAAATATGTATTGGAGCACTAATATATTAATGGTTATCTACACATGTACAAACCACGGAAAGATAACTATGAGAAGAAATTAACAAAAAGGCCATGTTATTAAGCTTCTTTTCAATGCGAGGGGTGTTGTAGGAACCTGCAGATTTGCTTCTTCCATGTTGTGTCTTCTGAGAGCACTACTTAGACATATACAGTGGTCTTATGTGGATGACATAAGTCACATAGCCAATAGTTTCAAAGTATTGTTGGCCACCCCCACTACTTAAGGCACCCCATTACATATTTTATTGATTTGACATCTTCTTGGTCTTCATTGGAAAATGAATTCCATATCTACACTACATGGAATTGTTTTCAATTTATATTTTTGTAATGTATAGGTTTCATATTATAGGTAATATTTAAATATCCGTATATGTAGAAATATCGATATGCAATTGTGGAAATATTGATGGATATATCAATATCGGTTGCTTTCGATGGAAATAAGGAAATTTAAAATGAAACTTTAGGCATGTCAAACACTTAATACGAAACATAAGAGTTTTTTGGATATTTAACCGATATATCGGAAATATTGACGAAATCCGTCGATTTTAGCCGAAATTTAAGAGTTATTCTCTTATAGAGGCGAAGTTTAGACTTCACCCCTGCTTTTTCATATCTTTATCTGATTTTTCCGATACTTCTACAGAAATATCGACTGTATTGAAGAAATTTCAAACACTAATTATAAGTGCGTGCGGCAAGTTAAAAGGCTTTGATTTTGATGATGGCTAAGAACGTCTATGCATGCAGCCAATGCTTTTTGAATCTCTTTTTATTTTCCTAAGTTAATCATGCTCATATCCCACTACCAAACGTTTGGACAGCTCCTTGCTAAGCTTCGTTCGCCAAATGTAATAGGACATTCGTAAACAATTCAACCTAGCCTTTTCCATTTAGACTAGTACATTGCAATTGGGAATTTCCTAATCATATTTTAGCAACACTCCTCTTCCCAGCATATTATTATGGGAACTTTAACGAAAAGCACCCGGTACTGTTCACTTTAACGAAAAACCATATTTTTACACTAAAAAGTCAATCCTGGTACTATTCATTTTACCCTTCATTTTGTCCTTATCATTAAAACTCAAAGTTTTCAAGCCATTTTCATTAGTTTTCCTTATTATTTATGCATGTATCTTTCTATAGCGTGCAATATTAAGATTAGTATTTATCATTGATCATGCACCTAAATTTTTATTATATTTTGATTGATTACCAGTGGTCAAGAATTGCCAATTAGGATGGGTTCGAAATACCCAAAAAAAAAAAAAGGAACCAAAAAAATTGAAGGAAAATAAAACCCTAAACCGTAAACAAATTGGGCACCGGACATACATGCTGATGGGACAAGAAACAACATATAAAGATGGGAAGAATGGGGATAAACTCAATACAACTTGTAAATAATGGTTTATGTTAATTATTCTAGCCGCGAAAGATTAGGAATGATCACCAATGTACATCTAATTTACAGGTTTTTAGTGGAGGACTAAAATTACTATTAGTTATATATAGTCTTTTAACACAATGGAGAGGTCCAAACTTGTGAGCAACACGCGACTTGTTTCAAATAAAGTCGAGATAAATATCACTTGATTAATAGCTAATTTACCATATCAAACTCATATGTATGTATAAAGTTCACCAATCCACGTGCATAGATTTGAAAAGGATTAATGTTAGTTGTTAACTTGTTATGAACCTTGATGTGAATTAGCATATGATTATGATCATGTTTAAGAAGTAGACCATACGTATCAAAGTTGGAAGGAATGGAAAGGGCTCTTATAACAATCTATCCCTGAAATTAGTGGGCAGTGCGTTCACAGTTCCTCATCATGACTCATGAAGAAGGAAGGCGTGCTCTTTCCTTCTTCGTTAGTTGACCATTTATAATTTCTTTTTCTCTCCTGCGCCTTGTCAGACTCTCACAATGTCATGCTGCCCCTCCCACTCTTTCAGGTTATCCCATTTAGGTCTAAATACCATTAATACCTTCTAATTTGTGTGGTAACAGAAGGGTAATGTTAGGTCATACTTTAAACTATATTTTGTAAACTATATGATATAGTTGTTGATGATTGAATTATTACTTCAGTGTTGATTAGGTACTTATTTCCTATTGGTGGCATGTACATCACATAATTTGCAAATGTGATCTAATTAGTCTACTTATAGCATTACTTGAAACAAAAATTAATTGACAATTACACCAAAAATCCACTTGATAATTTTATACACGTATCCAAGAATATGCAGTTTCATCATTATAAGTGGTTGAGTTGCCCTAGTTTTCTTAGAAATATATTAACAACCCAAATTTTGTTTAACCCTCTTGATTCTTTTAATTAGTCTTAGTTATTTTTTATTGGGATGCATGCCAAGAATACTTGGTGCTCATAGCAATATGGGAACTTATTACTTCAAAAGGCAAAACATACAAGATACTATGCAAGGATTTGAGCCATGTTAGTATGTTACTACTATATATTCAGTCACACATGCAAGGATTGAGTACTATACAATTTCAAATTCAGAACCCATTTAGCTTTTCTTTTGTGACAATTCAGCATTTGCGTCCAAATGCCGATTACGCATACCTCACCAGTTGTGAGCAACTAACAAAGAAACATATCTGGACTATACATCCCTCCAGATCGCTTACATTCTATACCAAACTGGCGTATCGGGTTCTGACAAAAATTCCATGGAAAAAAAAAAGCAAAAAATTCTACGGGAAATTAAAAAGAAAAAAGTCAACAAAAAAAAAAACATGGGACAAAGAAGGTTGGCAGATTGGAAAATAACGCACATCCACATTAAGCTCATATCTGTAATTTAAAATTTTAGTGGGTGATTTGCTTTCCCTACTTTAATTGTTCGTTCTGTCCTTGCTGCCCATGGATTTTTTAGATTGTGCACTGTATTGCGCATTTAATCAAGTCCACATTCATTTCCTTCTGTAAACTTATTATATATAGCTGCTGAGTGCTGAGGAGTCAGGAACCTGAGTGGAGAGAGTTAATAATATTATAAGATCTACTTAAGGAGCAGCCAAAGCCCTCAACAAAGAAAGGCAAAGAGAGAGACAGAGTGAGAAAAACTACGAGAGAAAGAGATGGAATGGAGAAAATGCTACTTGGATGTCATTCTTGTACCACTAGGGTTCCTCATGACTGCTTCGTATCATGCTTGGTTATGGCATAAGGTTCGGACCGACCCACGATCTACCATCATCGGCATAAACACCAGCGGACGACGATTCTGGGTCTCGGCGATGATGAAGGTACGTATAACACGATTAACTTGCATACTATGCTAAATTATCGTAGAGGACGGATGAATTTTAATTTGCTTTAAAATTGTTCGTATCATCTTAACCAATCAATAGTTGATACAAAGAGAAAAATCTACAAGTTGTGTGCATGCATTTAAATATAAGGAAAATTAATGAAAATGGCTTGAAAACTTTGAGTTTTAAGGACAAAATAAATGGTAAAGTGAATAGTACCAATATTGACTTTTTAGTGTAAAGTACCTGGAGCTTTTCGTTAAAGTTCTCATAAATATATTCTAATTTTACCGGATATTCCTATCTGTGTAGAATGTTAATTAATTATCACTTAAAAACATATGTTGTACGAGTTGTGATGTTCATGTTGTTGACAGTCGTAACATGAGAAACAGTAAAAAAGAGAACGAACGGTACAGTCCTCCAACCTCTATGTTATCTTATGCAGCTATCTTCACTATGAAAGCATAACAGATTAATTAGGTTTAGTTACATATTAGCCCCTGCAATTCTTCAATCATAACTTCCTACCCATTAACATCTTAACAATTTTTATTTTATACGTAAAACAAACTAACGTAATTTGTTCATTACAATTTTTCTATACATTTTAGCTAAAGAAAAATAGTTATGCTAATCATAAACAAGAAAGTTAGGTCCATAGATAAATAGTAGGTGCATTATATAGGGAGATGATTTGTCTCACACCTTTTTTGTTTCTCACACACACATCTTCATTTCTGATCATCAAATTAAATAAATCAAACGAAAACAACGAACTCATTAAACAAGTACTCTAACATATAGATAGATGCATTATTTTGTTCAATGTGGTTCCGACTATAAAGCTCAATTAATAAACACCTGTGTTATTTGTGTGCTCTCCCAGATGAAAAATAATATATATATATATATCTTTCATATTATAAATAGGTACATTAGTATGTTATAAAAGATGATTAACTGTGGTCTGCCATCTATAGAGTGATCTTCAAAAAGAATGTTCCATTTGAGACTTTGATCGTCCAAATTAAATATACGTAGTTTCCTTAATGCAGTTTATCAAAGCACAGAATGATACCAAAACGTAAAGAATATGCACATTTCATTGCTTTAAAGTGAGAAGTAACAAGCCAAGCATACAAAAGGTGGCTTATTTGTGGGGACCTAATCTTTCGTTTATCATTTTTAGCCACGAGTAAAATCTTAAATAATAAAAACCATTTAGAAATGGTTTCTTGCGCATCGCATGCTTCACTTTTATTTTATGCTACGGAATTAGTATATTACACAGTAATTTAAGGAGATCAAAGTGACCAACAACATTATGTTGGATAAGTGAAATTAATTGCATGCCACCATGCATATATTCTTTCTTACACTTCACGAACCCACTTAACTCCTATATATTGCATCACATGTTAACTCCAGCATTGTGTTCTTTCTTTTACACTTAAGTTGAATTCTCTCGCCATAACTTAAATAAATTTAGCATAAAATATTGTTGGTAGAATAAAGCTTTAATCATTAAAAAAATGTTTATCTTTTATATCAAACCTTTAATATTATGTGGCTGCAACTTAGATATTGATAAAGTTGGTCTTATGCAGACATTCTGATATTATTCGTTAATTGTCAATCTTATTTATTGATATATGGTTTCAGATTTACAGTCCATAGTATTAACATAATATGTAAGATAAGTGAGTAGTAAATAGTTTTAACTTGTCGATGACTAAATGATTACATGTTTTTTTTTCCCTTATCTTTGACAGGACAATGAAAAGAAGAACATCCTGGCCGTCCAAACCCTTCGTAACACGATCATGGGATCAACCCTAATGGCCACCACATCAATCCTCCTATGCTCCGGCCTAGCAGCTGTGATCAGCAGCACATACAGTGTGAAGAAACCGCTCAATGACACCGTTTACGGGGCACACGGGGAATTCATGGTTGCTTTAAAATACGTTACCCTACTCACAATTTTCCTCTTCTCGTTCATGTGTCACTCGCTTTCAATCAGGTTCATAAACCAAGTGAACATCCTAATTAACAGTCCACAAGAACCCACGTCGTTGGTGACTCCAGAGTATGTGTCTGCGCTTTTGGAAAGGGGTTACTTGTTAAACACTGCGGGGAACAGGTTGTTTTATGGAGCACTGCCTCTCGTGCTTTGGATATTTGGACCAGTTTTGGTGTTTTTGTGTTCTGCCACGATGGTGCCTGTGCTTTACAATTTGGACTTTGTGTCTAGCAGTAGCACTGAAAAGACAAAAATGGATATTGGTAATGAAAATGGGGATGCATTTGTATGAATTGGGCATAGTCGTCCAAAGTGAAGATGGTGCGTGATTCAATCACGGCTGAAAACATTGTGCAAATTAAATCCAAGAGTTGTCAACACCTTGTCGGCGCCTCCTTTACTTCATCTCCCTTTGCCGTGTCCTCAGCCGTGGCATGCAAGAGAGGTATAGAGAGAAGGGAAGCCATCATCTGGGCAAGAGAGAGAGATGGTCCACTCCAAAAAAATTTGGACTATAAGTTGTTTTACATATGTTATACTTCCGTAAATTTGATAAAATGATCAATTATCATATGTTTGGTTTGGAAAGCTGAATGATCAATCAATATGTTTAGATTGGGGATGGAAATAAATTTAGATTGATTACTTGCAGAAATGCATTTCTAACACATGTGTTACATGTAAGTTTTTCTCGCCTGAACAAGTTGACAACCATAAGTAACTATTAAAAATAGTTCAAAACGAAAGGATGAGACATTGGATCTTTCCTTCCAGCCATTGCCTCATGTCTTCCATCACTTCTCAATTGTTATGGCGACAGGACGATTTCATGTGTAATCATAAAAAAAAACTTTGATCCACACAGATACGATATATGCAGAACCAACTTAAAAGGAAAACATAATTCATCCTTAATTAAACTATTTAGCATCCTGAGAAGTCATTACACAACAGATTAAAAGACATTATCATTTTTCATTCATGGAACATATAATTGCTCATATATAGTGGCCCACACGAGGACGAAGAAGGCTTTCAAGCCAAAATCACAGAGAAACAGCTTAACATGACGACCGGCATGCTTCCACTTTTGAAGAGTTGAGAAATTTTCATCTTCATCTTCATCTTCATCTTCACCAGCCACCAAATTCATCCCATGTAGGGCGCCCTTAACCCTTGGGAGCTATCTTTCCAGCTTCTTCAAATCGTACATGGTCTCATCATGTTTCAGTTTGCGGTTAACGTAGGCAAACCCCTTCTTATAAATCATCACTAGAACTCGAACCGATAACAAAAGATCAATAGTTAGCATGAGCTTTAACTATAAACTTGTTACTGAACCCGAACAAAATTAACGCTTGTATATCCCATGTAAAAAAGTTGCAGCTTTATATATAGCGGATTCTAGAAGACGCATGAGATCGAATCTTGGTTGTGTCAGTCTCCCTTTCCACCTCCGTGGTTTTGTTCTGGAATTGCTTCTTTAACTCCCTGAGGACTGTTGAGTGTTGAATATATCACTGCCAACTCATCTCTGCCAGCTCATCAAAACAGTTGTAAAGGATTGGATGATGTAATAGTTAGTTGAAAGAATTAGTTAGTTCTCTAGTCAGCTATATATAGCTATTGTAAATATATAGTAAAGTGAGTTCATTGAGTTTAATACAAAAACTTCATTCATTTCTTTCTCACAATTCTCTTCTCTCTGTAAAACTTCATTTCTTGATTTTATAATTGTTCATCTATGCTACTTCTCCAATGTAGTTAACATGGTATCAGCGCCATGGATTCTGGTGGTTCCGTTTTTCATTAGATTTCATGGTTTTTCTAGTTTTATTTTCTCTTCAGATTTTCTTCAGAAATTTCCATTACTTTTTCGGTGCTTCCGCAATTGTTCTTGGGTTGATTTTTCGGCGATTGTTGGGTTAATCTTCTTTTGCCAACTACATTGTACAATATCGAATTTGGGGTTCTGCTTGTTGTTTGTGAAAATGTCTAAATGAAACTAAATGCCGCGAGGAGATCGGAGATCTGGAGATTTGGTTCTTTCTTCTTGGTGGTTTGCTCAAATCATTGTCTGAATTCTTTGGTGGGAAGCCATGGTTGCTGCTGGTCGGTAGATTGATTGGTTTGCTTCCTTAGCGTTATTTGGGTCAAGATTGAAGTTCTTATCAGGTGTTCATCTTTCTTGTGAATCTTTCCTGGGATATTAGTGCGATATTTGGGATATTTTGACTCAAGATTGGTCATTACTTCAAGATTAGTGTTTGTGATATTTGGGATATTTGATTTGGTGCACGATGTCTTGGAGATCGATTCCGTCCAGGTTAATTTGCTGAGTTATGCTGATGAGTGTTTGTGAATCTCAATCCATAATATGTGGGACTAAGTCTCCATTGCAACAGTTGACCCCGCAGAGTCATGTGCCTGATCAGGGGAGTTTGTTAGGGTACTAATTCTTGTAAAAGGTTGAGACTTTGGGAAGAAGACGACGATGCATGAGAATGTGTGGGTGTGCATTCTTGCATTCTGGCATAGCCAAGTTTATGGTTTGTACAAAAATGAGAAGTGTAATTTCTTGTTCAGAAAATTCTTATCTCCACATATATGGGTTGCAAGGTGCTGGTTTCAATTCTCAGCAGCTTGCCATTGTTTCCGATCTTTGTGAGTGGAGTGATGTTGCAAGAAATGGACAAGGAAACTCTCCTGAAACTGGTAGTCCCATTTCAGTGCATCTTAGGCAAAACAGTGTGCCGGGGCAAAGCAGAGAAACAAGCAGCAATGCGTGTTTATTAGATTCAGCAAAGGTTACTGGAGCGAGTGTTCAGGTGTTAACTGAGCAGTTGTGCAGTATATTCATTATCACAGCCTATAATGTCGAGTCTAACCAACTCAGTTGTTAGCATGAATCTACTATAAGTCCGGTTATACGATGAAGTTTGAAGAAATTGTTAACGGTAAAACCCACGAAGGGTAATTCCGTGATGTGAGTAAGTAAATCCCACGAAGGGTAATCCTACGTAGATGTTGATTTTCAATTGTTGAAATTGTGAAGGCCGATGCCATTGTTCAAAGAAGTTGTTATTTGGTAAAATCCACAAAGGGCGATCCCGTGGTGCTATAGTTAAGGCCGATGCCACACTATAGTTTGTTAATTTTCTGTTTTTATAAATATTAAAGGCCGAAGCCAAGTTGAATGAGATTGTTGACGGTAAATCCCACAAAGGGTAAACCCGCAAAAAATTGTTATAATCGACATGAGGGTGTGTTACAACTTTACAAGAGGTTGTTCTTTGAGTCTGTATTCTATTGGAAACAGAGGCTTCTGCATACAAAATGGTTCCATAATCTTGCTGAGTATGTTGAAAGAAATATTAGAGAACATTTTGTCTTTGGAAGATTGTATCTGCAAAAGTAAATTGTGATGATAATGGGATGAGCAAAGAAAACAGTAGCTACAAAGTATGGATTTAAGTTATGAATACCTGTCAGTTTAGTGAGCAAGTAGCATCTGTGCAAATAGCATGTTGAGTATGGATACCTGTCAGTTTGAGGAAGGTGCAAATCATGCAGTTGAATGTGATTTGACTGTTACAGAAACCCAGGAGAGAGTTGAGAAGAATGGGGTTTTTTGGTGCACTTATGGTGAAGAAAAATGAAATTTTGGAATTTGATATTGCGGTTGAGAATTTGAGAGGTGCAATGGTGCCGCATAAAGATTGTCGAAATTATACCACTCTCCACTCACTTTCCGGATACAAAACCAATGGTCCTGCAAGTGACAGCTAAATGCATTTTCAAGCTCGGGATCAATCTGCAGTGCGTCCATTTGTCATATTTCAGTGTTTGCTATTTGAGACACCTTTAAACAACAAGAACAGATGATTAATTGATGATGGGAGCAGGGCTAGGAGTACATGGACAAGAAGCACTTCATAGTTTCGCATTTGTCAAAGCACTCATTCAATCTCAAATTGGGAAACCCAGTTGAGATTGAGGGGAGATGTTGAATATATCACTGCCAACTCATCTCTGCCAGCTCATCAAAACAGTTGTAAAGGATTAGATGATGTAATAGTTAGTTGAAAGAGTTAGTTACTCCTCCAGTCAGCTATATATAGCTATTGTAAACAGATAGTAAAGTGAGTTCATTGAGTTTAATACAAAAGCTTCATTCATTTTTTTCTCACATTTCTATTCTCTCTGTAAAACTTCATTTCTTGATTTTATAATTGTTCATCTTTGCTACTTCACCAATGTAGTTAACAAGGACGACGTTCTTGATCCTTGGTGTTTCTAACAATGCAAAACGATTGAGACGTGTAATCAAAAAATATATATTGGCATACAACAGTTAACAAGCGAAGCATGAAAGAATAGTTTGAAATATAACATTAGAAATGGCGAGTTCGATTTGGTTTCTCTAAAGTTAAACTATAGGTACACAAAAAACCGTTAAGTACAAAAGTAGTACAACTTTAAGATGCAACTCGAAAAGGTCATGGACGCCAAAACTCGAACAAAATTCATACTCTTCAGACTTACATAACATAATGCACATTTCAGTTTTTAAATAGATACTTTACCAAATATAAATACAAGATGCAACTATTCAACAAAACAATTGATACTTTACCAACAAAAAATTAGTGAGAATTAAGTGCACATTTCAGTTTTTAATTTATTTTTTATTTTTTATTTTATACATATGCACTTTTCAGCTTAAAAGCTAAACATCTGAAGCTTATCAAATCAACAGGCCCTGGATTCCATTTTTTGTTAAAAATGGGGACTAGTTGTAGGGCTTAATTCACATCGAACTTCAATAATTCGAACTGTCTAATTTCAAGTTACACTTTATAGATCATCTTTGTAAAATATTAGCCAAAACGGAAATGTTTGAGGCATCTAATTGAGTTCAAAGAAGTTAAAGAACAATATGTTTTAAGAAACATTGAAATTTCATCATGACAATCAAATGAGTAAATAATTTCGGATTTAATTGATTTTTTGCAAGAATGATTTATGCATGAAGACTTAAAAAAATAAACAGTTCGAGTTGTTGACATTCAATGTAAAATGGACCTATAACAAGTCCCCATCTTTTTTTACTTATGATCATCAAACAAAAAAAATACATGACTTAATAATGTGTTAGAGACTAAAAATAATGTCATCGAATTGAGCAACTCATTTGCGTTTGTCCTGTATATCTACTGATATACCTTATTTTTCTAAGAAGGGTTGTCATTTATGTTTTAGTTGTAAAATAGATCGAAAACGAAGATAAAGTATACATTCCATGTTTTGTAAAGCCGGCGTCGCTCGTTGTCAAAGCGCATCCTCGTATTCGTTATATTTCAGGTTTTGTAAAGTTGACGTTGTTCGTTAAGTCAATGATTTCAAGGTTCAGATGCGTTCTGCTTAATATTTGGTATGTTTCACTTATGAATCCACCAATACAATAACAGTTAGTTTGGCCAAGTTGGCTATTTATGTTTTTCTCGTGGATCAATCCATCCCTCTATGATCCATAAATCTGCTCTTGACATTTCCATTTTAATTCAAACCCTAAACCCTAATTAGTTACTAGCTTAGGATGATCTAATGTTGATTTCCCCCAAAACAAATCGATTTAGTTACGCGCGCCTTTTTCCTAAAAGGTGTACCAAAAACGACATCGTTCAGGACTAGTTTTATATTTAATTAAACAAAATTTTAATAATAAAAAAAGTTCATTTCAAATCTGACGAATCCAATGCCCCAAATCGATGTTCTCCTCTTCTTCGCACCCCTAAATTCGATTCCTCTGCGTCGATTTCAGGTACTTCCGAATACAATCTCATATTTTGATTGCTAGCTTGATTAATTAATACTTTTATTTTAATTGTAATTTTTCTTCTATTTGTTTGTTTGGCTGTTGAGAAAATTTTATAGGAAAAAATATGAATTCGATTCTAGGGTTTCAGGGGCACAAATTTGAGTTTGGAATGAGATTCTAGGTTTTTAGTAGCCAAATTTACCCCTCGTATATCGTTCAAAATCCCTTTTTTAGCTTAGTTTTCTGTTTAATTTTGTAAAATTTTGTGATTCAAACTGGTATCTGTACATTTTTTTCCTGCTAGTGATTGATAATCTTGTTATTAACTTTTCAGAAACAGGTAGATTTTGTAATGTTCCAAAATCGAAAGGGTTAGGGTTTGGTTGATGCATAAATTCTTATGAGTTAGAAAAACTACAAGGCACTAGAGATGAATTCGTTGCCAACTACCATTGTGATTCTCATATTTTTATTCATTTTCTGCTCTGTGGGTGTTCATGTGTTATCTCTTCGTACACTTCCGATCGATCCTTGCAACCCTACAGCGCAACAAGACCCGCGAACTCTCATCTCGGACCAGCTAACTGTACTCATCAATGGCTACTCTGAGTCTCGCATCCCACTCCTACAATCCATTGTCACCACATATGCAGCCTCTTCTTTGGTTTCATCCATTCTCGTGCTCTGGGGAAACCCTTCCACCCTGTCCCAGACCTTGTCCCAACTGGCTCGCAATCTCACGGATTCATCCTTTGGATTCAGTGGCATCTCTGTAATCCGCCAAGCATCGGACAGCCTCAATAACCGGTTCCTCCCCAGACCCGAAATTAAGACCCGAGCAGTTTTGGTCTGTGATGATGATGTTGAAGTTGACCCCAAATCCTTCGAATTTGCGTTTAGAATGTGGGGATCAAACCCAGATCGTCTGGTTGGGTTCTTTGTCAGGTCACACGACATAGATTTGTCAAGGAAAGAGTGGATCTACACCATTCATCCAGACAAGTACTCTATCATGCTCACCAAGTTTATGCTTTTGAAAAGCCAGTATTTCTATCGGTACAGCTGCGCAGGACGGGTGATGGCCAGCATGAGGAAGATTGTGGATAAGGCGCAGAACTGTGAGGACTTATTGATGAATTTTGTGGTGGCTGATGAGGTTAATGCAGGGCCTATATTGGTAGGAGCCAAGAGGGTTAGGGATTGGGGAGATGCACGTAATGATCACGATGATGGTGATGGTGATGCACGACGAGGATTGACTGGGGAGGTTGCACAGGTGGGTTTGAGCAGTAGGAAAACGAAGCATAGGACGAGGAGAGGGGAGTGTATAAGTGAGTTTCATAGGGTGCTGGGGAGAATGCCTTTGAGGTTCAGTTATGGGAAGGTAGTCAACTCTGTCGGTGAACAAGGGTTGTGTCAAAAAGGAGGGAAATTGGTGTTTTGTGATCAATCATAGTTGTTTTTCTGGAAGAACAGAAATATTCCAAATATTAGAAGGATTGGAATCTCATAGGTCTTAACTCTTAAGTTGTATGATGGAGCACCCTGGACACATTTCAGCATAGGTGGACTTTCGAGAGAAGGCGCTCCAGCCGGTAAAGTGATGCTGCCACAGCACTCTTCAGTCTTTCTGTTTACAAGGCTAAAAGGTCAGGTTGTGTTTCTCGAGGAATTTTCTCTGCCTACTCCGCTGTTGATGGATGACCAGGCGGGCGCTATCAACAATGCCTTGGCGGTTCAAAGATGAAGCAAGATGAGGTCACAAGGTGTCCTGTTAACGAAACCGTGGAGTATTTCTTCTCTTCAAAGCTTGGCTGCTGATGGATCCTTTGAAGCTCGAAGAAAAACCGATACGCTACATAGATTACTCAACAGGTGCTGCTTTTTAGTATCCGAATCAGTTTGGCTGACAGTGTAAGAGTGCTTATTTTCGAAGATTAAGCACGGAAACTAGTGTGTGTTGATTTATTAGAAAACAGTTAAATGAAAGTTAGATCCTACTTCTTTTTCGTATGTGGCGGGCTTGGGCCTGGAAGAGTAAAGGCTACTTTTGCAACTTTGTTGTTGTGTGATCTAATTGAATGGATTGGGCTGCCTCTTGTTATAAAAATCGTGCAAGCCGTATATACACCGATTGTTTCACCTGTTTACACGCAACATAATCACCAAAAATAAACAAGTGTTTTTAAAATGAGTGAAAACGTTTTTTGTGAAAATGTTTTTTAGACAAATCTTTGGTAAATATGCAAATGAATCGTAAAAAACACCAACTAATGTTTTTTGTAGGAAACACTTCAAGTGATTTTAGAATGCAAAAACATTCTCTAAAAACGGTTTTAGTAATTTTAAAAGGATTTCCAAAGGAACATTAGTTCTTGTCCAATGGCGATTCGGATTCATCTTGCCCATTAATAAATTAAACAAGAAAATGATAACTAGACGTAACCTGGCTATCGGTTACCAATTTACATTATAGTCCGAGGTTACTAAAAATCCCCAAAGTGCAATTCCAATGCATGAATCAAAACTAGGATTGGCTATAAATTGGTCGGTAGAATGCAATCAGTAAATCGCACGAATCCGGGAATCTGCTTGCCGGGAAGGGAAGCAACCAAATTCCCAATACTTTATGAAGCCCCAGAATTCGGAGCCAATAAAAAACCTTGAGCCTACTAGCCTTTCTTCAACACGACCCCTACTGGTTGGGCTTCGGCAACTTCGGCTGATGTCACTGCCTTACTAGGACATATAGGGCTTCCCATGGAGGCATGGAGCACCCCATGAGACGGGCATCAACATTTGAAATCCCATATTTTTAAGGACCGAGGAAAACTGTTGTGTCGTTGGGCTCTCTCTTGTATCTAAAACACTTAAGTAGATGAGTGAGCCCGAGTGTTGTAGACACGATAAAATATTATACCGTATTTTCTCACGTAAAGTAATCAAGGGTCCCCAAATGTTACGTGTGTCTCATGACCGCCTGCAATTTATGCATGCATACTTTGTTCTCTTTGAACCCGACTGATGACTCATCAAAATTGAGTAGGGAAATTTAAGCAGCCAACTAGCTAACTTGTAGGGCACTCTCACAAAGTATAAGGGCCATAAGGTTGTGGGTATTGTGAGTTGTACTTGCGTGAGTTGTACTTGCGTGAGTTCTGATAGTAGCCAATGTAGTCAGATTATCCTACTCAAGTTTCTTTTCTTTATTCGAGGAATAGTAAAAATAGATAGTAAGGATAAGCGTGAATTAAGCTCACTTGTTGAGGAAATGGAAATGCATAAGGGATAATGAAATGGAGTTGTGAATAAGTGAGGGCCATTACTATTAATGTGATTAATGTGAAGAAAGTACAAAACAAGAAACCCTACAACTCGAGCTGAAAAATTCAAACAAACAAACAAAAGTTGCCCTAGACCCCTAGCCCTAAGTGAATCAAATTTTAAAAGAGAAATGTTAAGGAAACTCTATTAAAAGTATGACTTTCTGTAAATTCTCTTTCACTTCTTGTTTTTTTCACAATATTTTATAATAACATAAAAATTAACATTAAACTGAAAAATTGTAGAAAGTTCATAAAAATCTCAATTTAAAAAAAAATATCTTTAGCAATTTTCATTTTAAGAACTCGGAAGAAACCTCCTAGAGTAAGAAAGGCACTAATAATACCACGAGTAGAAAGTGGAGAATAAGTCCAGTTTTGGTACAGAAAATTGAGTCCAATATTTCACCATCATGAAATCGAAAACTTGAGATGTTTTACTTTTTGGCCACTTGGTCATTTTTCATATGTGCAAGAAATTAGACTGCTTTTTTATGGTGGCTCTGACGTGGGGGCTTTTCTGATCATTCAGCTTAAATAAAAAGTTAAGTGGAAAACGATCTTTTTACGAGGATTCTAGAAATTCCGTAATCGTGATCGTTTATGTATTGTAAGGTTAGAAATTATTTCAAAATTTAAAATTTAAAATTAAATATAAATAGTACTTAATGAAAATTGACTGCACGATGTACGATAAACGATCACGATTACAAAATCCCTTGGATTTCCAGAAAAAAAATCCGACGAGGATCCTTTTCCAAGTTAGGTATTACCTGGTCTTAAATAAAACTATATAAAGCCATGAAAAAGCAAAATCCAAAGCTCATTGCTTTACAAAAAAAAACTCAAAAGAAAGTGGAGGAGAAAGCCATCCCTTTTAGCAGGGTAGTATTATCCATATATTTATTTTTATTTCTTACACATCTCTTTTAATTTTAGATCGTTGAACTGAATAAATTGAAAAATATTAATGGTAAAAAATTAATAAGAATATGTAATAACTAGGTAAACATAAGTGTGCGAATAATACTATCATTTAGCAAGGCATGCAAAGCCTCCATCAGCATCTTTGTTTTTAGGTCGGTGCTTGTCTAAATCAAGCTTTCATTTGCTTTTCCACACTTAAACTAATCCTTAGAGATCCACTCTATTTACCTAAACATACCACTAAACCCTAGCTATATGCTTTGCCTTCAAGGCATTAATTTAATTTAATTTATAGCTTTTGCATATAAAGATGGAAGATTACATAGTGTGATCTTTTGTTGGATTTTGACTGCATTTCGTTACTGGCCCCTTTGTTTGAAGCTTATCCAAATTGATTAAGGAACATAGAGAGTCCTTGCTTTATTAAACTCCCTAATTCAAACTTTATATACGTGGAATTACAAGGAAACTTTATGAAATGTGTTTGGGGCATGGCCTAAAGTAGCAACTGTGCATTTCCATATTGGATCCAATGCCACGGGCATAAAGCAAAACACTTGTCCATCTATAATAAATGTCTTTAACACACTTGTTTTCAATATATTAGTCGTTTGCGCGTCCATTTGTAAATAATTGTGGTCCATTTGTAATACATCAACGATTTAAAGATGTTACAACCATATGAATAACTGATGTCAGTTTTGCCTAAAGCAGTGTCAAATTGCTAATGACATGCACTAGCTAGTGTTGTGATTAAGAAGGATGATGTAAAAGGCTAGGTTGTGTAGACTTAAGGCTAATTTGGTGTTGCTTAAATCATTTTAAAAGTATATTTTAAAAAAAAAAAATTGGGGTTTTAATTGTGTTTGGTAAATGAAAAAAAAACATTATTATTATTTTTTTTTCAAAATCATGAGTATAAAGGCTGGTTTGGTATTGCTGTGCTTTGAAAAAAAGTTGATGTGAAAATAAGCGGCTGTGCTGTGAGAATAAGCGACTGTGAAATAAATTAGCAGAGTGTTTGGTAAACTTTTTTGTAAAAGTGCTTTTGAAAAAAAAAGCAGTCTGATAGTGGGTATTTTCATTAAAAGAGCAATGTAGCTCAGTGTGCTTTGAAAAAAAAAGCTAGTTTTCCAAAGCTACAAATAGCAGCTTCAGCTTTTTCCTTTGATTTCAGCTTATTCTCACAGCAGCTTCCAAAATAAGCCATTTTTTTAGTTTATCAAACACCTAAAACCCTCATAGCTTTTTTTCATGAGTGCTTTTTTTTAAGCACCTCACTCCCAAACCATCCCTTAGTACTACAGTAAGGTTCGATCCTCACTAAAGACGAGTTTGAATCATATATTGCCAGCTCATTGAGAAATTAAGCCCGCCCTATTTTCCTTAGTGTAGGTAATACTATTTGTTAAAAAAAAAACGAAATTAGTTGCAAGAATATTTGGGGCCACATATTTAAATTGGTTAGACTTACTATAATGGCAAGTCACCTAATAGCATTGTTAATTTTTATAGTGAATTATTGGTCCTTATATGTGTAATGGAAGGTCTAATTTATGTATTTAACCATTTTCACCATGGGACTATATTTAATGATGTCCTTTTAGAGACTTGGCCCCTCTTGTTTGATAGGTCCTTGTCCATAGGAATTGGACATGGTTTCTATGATTTTAATAGTAGTGAGGAGCTAGAACTATGAATGATTACTTTCTTTTAAAAAAAAGAACTTTAACGAAAAGTTACTGGTACGGTTCATTTTAATGAAAAACCATATTTTACACTAAAAAATCAATCATAATACTATTCACTTTACCATTTATTTTGTCTTCATAGTTAAAACTCAAAGTTTTCAAGTCATTTTCATTAGTTTTTCTTTTTTTAAAAGGCAGTTTTAACATAACATTCTCAGTAGTATTCACTAAAAAAATGTTTTTTTGAGAAATATGGGTAAACCTGTTGCTTCTACTTTCTATTGATTTATGGGTGGTTTGGGAGTGAGGTGCTTAAAAAAAAACACCTATGAAAAAAAACTGTGAGGGTTTTAGGTGTTTGGTAAACTGAAAAAATAAAAGGCTTATTTTGGAAGCTGTTGTGAGAATAAGCTGAAATCAAAGAAAAAAGCTGAAGCTGCTATTTGCAGCTTTGGAAAACTGGCTTTTTTTTTTCAAAGTACACTGAGCTACATTGCTCCTTTAATGAAAAGACCCACTATAAGACTGTTTTTTTTTTCAAAAGCATTTTTACAAAAAAATTTACCAAACACTCTACTGATTTATTTCACAGCCACTTATTCTCACAGCACATCCGCTTATTCTTACATCAACTTTTTTTTCAAAGCACAGCAATACCAAACCAGCTCTAAGTCAACAAATTGTAATATATGGCATAACATTTTATATACTACTTAATGTAAATATTGGCCACTTAGTATTACAATTTAGTGATACTCTTCTTCACTTGTAAGTGAGAGGTCTTAGGTTTAATTATCGCTAAAGGCGAAATTGAACCACATTATTGCTAGCTCATTATGAGACTAAACCCAACCCTCCCCTTAGTGTAGATAATATCAATTGTTCAAAAAAAAAAATGTAAATATTGTAAATTTAAATTGGTCATGTTTAATTAAAAAAAAAAGAAAGTGTATTGTTATTGGTCTTAGGAAAATTAACCCTCAAACTAGAATGTAATATATCACATAGCATTTTATATACTTGTTCGGGCTTGATCCGTCCCTCGCACAGCTTGTCGGGGCTCTTGCCTGTT